TAAGGGGAAATTAATTTCAACTTTTTGGATGCTTTTATTTTTCTTAGTTAAACGGGATATTTTCAAAACCTTTTTGCAGTAATTGAATGCCTTAGGGTGGTTTAAGAAGCATTTTTTAATTTTACTGTTGAAAAGACCCACTGTTTGTGTTGCATATGTTTTCAGTAGTAATCAGCCGTTTCACTTTTTATCTCATTTGTCCTTTTATCAGATGCATACTAATATGTATGTAATTTAATTATTAATTCCAAAGATGGTAATATCCAACATTTATGTGCATGTTATTTTATGTTTTACTGATGCAGATGCACTTTTTCACCATTTCACATGATATAATCTGCAAATTTCTGGTACTGGAACAACATCAAAATAACACTAAAATACACTCCTCTTCTCCATTCTGTGAGACATTATTTTTCTTCAGTAAGAGGGAAAATGTTCAGCTCTTAAAAATGAGTGGACTGAGCGTTTATTTGCAGTGCTGATGGGAAAGGCAATGACAGAGCCAGGCTGTCTGATGTTTGGGAGTGAAGCATTTACTGTGTTTTTTCTGGTACCAAATCCAGAGTCTGTGCAGCCAAACTGAAAGCACTTCTGACTAAATTTGTCTTTTTCTTTTCTGTCTGGGTCAGCGGAATATGTTAGGGGTACAAGGACTGTTTTAGCAGTCAGATAGTGGGGCATATTGAAATAGAAGATTCCTCTTATTTATCCTAAGTAGTCGGATGCCTGCATTTATGTAAAACCACCTATACTACAATGAGACATTTTCCATACAAGTTAAAGTATTGATTTAATAGCAGGTATCATAAGTAAAAGTGGGAAGACCACTTTCTTACAGTATTAAACATCATACTGTGGGATTATTAAAGCTAATGCATTCATTTATAAGCAGTATTTTAGTATGTTAGTTGTTGGAGATGGTGGTAATTGTAACAACTTTATTGTTGAGTAGTTTAATCTATAATAATGCATGACATATCATAAAATGACCATGACACAATTATCTGCAATGTGACTATTGCTTTAAGACAATAATAGCAGACATCAGAGCGGTATTGAACAATATTTCCTCCTGTGATTTACCAGAAGAAAAGTCTAGCTCTGCTGTGTAGTAGAACAGCCTCACAGAGCCGCTAGTGTGGCTGTAGACTCTTCGTCTTGCGTTATATGTACAGCTGAGACAGGGTGTTAAGTTACTCAGAACGATAATTTAATTTCTTACTGACTGTTACTGTCTGTCACTGTTCAATAATATCACCACAGGTAACTGCTTGTGTGCAGCAAATGCTACTGAGCAAGTCACAGCACAGGCCATACATATATACATACATACATTAAGGTACTGTGTATGTGTGTTTTGTGTGTATGTATGCCGGAGACACGTATCAGACAGATAAGCAGTTACTCAATGCACACATTTTTGCCAAACTAATCATGTTCTGTGTTCGAGCTGCTGCCTGCTTGTATGACCTTTTACACCCTCCTGCTTTTTTTTTAGTTGTGAGAGTAAAACACTTCAGACTCTCAATTAGGACACATGATTAGAAGTGAAACCATCTTGGCTGTGGTTGTCTTACCTTAAGCCTTCAAGTTATTATCGTCAACAAACTAATTAGTAAGTTCTTGATAAGCAAGGGTAGACCCTTCGTTGCCATAGCAACAGTTAGACTTAATCACAATGAAAGGATTGTGCTGCTGGGTAGCTTGCAGAGCACACACAGCCCTCCTGCATTTTTATTTGCTTAATTTTGTTTCTAGTTATTCACTCTTTGTACATTTACAAAAAAATTTCATTGCATCGCTGCAGGGCAGACCCACATAATTGAGGAAATCAAAAAGAGGTTTAGAGGGTTGTGTCAAAGCGCTGCATCTGAATGCAATGTTCCCAGTCTCATCAAATGAAGATAGCGATTTATTGTTACTGATTTAGGATCAAGTTAGATTAGGAAAGGTGCTGCAGATTTAGCACTGCTGCGAGCTGTAGGTAAAATGAGCTGTCAAACCTGGCTGATCCTGAAATTACCAGACTAATTTAAAGGAATTTAAAGGAAAAATTCACCCTCAAATACTCATTAATTGATTTTTCTCTCAAATGTGACACTTTTCTGCTTTTGGTTGGACAAAACAAACATAGATGCTAAACTGCAAAAATGGTCAATTAGGCCCTCATAAACCCACTGCTCTTCTAGCTAACTGTGATTTGTGCACAGTTTTTATATGGTATAATACTATTATACCTATTTGCAGTTTAGTAATTTGATGAAACACAAATGAATTTAGTAACATCCAATACAGAAGAAAATTACATTTTCACACCCTAGCTCTCTGCAAGAAAGAGCCTCAACATCAGATTAATCTGAGGTCTCCCTAAAAGCCATTAAATGTCAAGAAACTGTACTTGAGTTTTAGCATGTTCCCAAATAAATAAAATTTGCAAAACCCAGTTAACATAATCAGACTTGCTCTTACAGGGTCCCTGGACTCCTGGGGCCACAGGGCCCATTTTGTTTGTTTGGCAATCTAGCCTTGAAACAAGCAACTGGAAGACTGAACTCTGGGAAATTGTGATGGACATTCTCACTATTTTCAGACATTCTGAAAGTGAAACGCCAGTAAAACCAACAATGGGAAGCTGGATTTTTTCTACCTGGGAAAAAAAAGTGGATGGCCTTTACTCAACATCCTTTTTTTACTGCATTGCATTATATTCCGGTATATTGGGCTTCTTTTAGTGGAGAAAATGATCTTATTGCCTCTTCAGTGATGGATTTCTCCCCACAAATCTTGACTATTGAACTTTTCTCTTTTACTCTGATGGATTGACACCAAAATCTTGCAGTTTTTGGTAACTGATGGATCTTTTGCTATGAAACCCCACTGCAGCTACCTTGAAAATATCTCAGTATGACATTATGTGGTCCTCATTTTTCACTGTGGAAGTGATTTAGAGTACTCTGAGTATCTGTTTCCCTTTTTTAATTTCTTCTCTAGTACGCAAAGTACCCACCAAGGTTGTTGCTTCCACTCTCAGCATGACACTTACAGTAGCACACAATACAATTCAATAACACAAATCATCATTGTTAAATCAATTCCCCACCACCACCACTCCCCCGGTTACCCATAACGAGTGCCGCACACACCACACCTCGCTGATTGGTGGTCGAGTTGCTTCTTTGGTAAATAAAACATTTATAGAGGCTCAATTAGCGAAGCCTGTTGAGTCTGCGGCAGATGTGCTTGCCAGCTGTTTTTAAAGGAAGAGCGATGCAGCGAGGTGAAGTGAGGGAAAAGAAGATCTCAGGAACAGGAAGGAAAAAATGGAAAAGCGAAGGTGAAGCAGTCAGTTGTTTTTGATTCAGTATGAACCCAGTTTATTTCTTGAGTATAAAGACAAGGGGTTTGTTTGTGTCCCAAAAGAGCACAGAAGGGTTGGATAAAAGTTTATCTTTATATAGAAAAATGCAAAAGCATCTGCAAGGTCAGTAGCATTCAACTCACTTCTAGGATATGCAGCAAATATATGAAGAATATTCAGTGTTAATAATGATATCTAAAGGATTGAATGGTCTCTGAAAAGAAAGTAAATTATATTAAAAAAGAAAAAAAATGGAATTGTAGCTGCTGAATTTTCTTTGATCACATTCTTAGACTAATGTTGACCTAATGTTAACCTAAGTTATATTCTTTGAAAAATCACTGACAAATGCTGTCAAGACTGGCACAAATTGAGCACAGTTAATATGCAGCTATGATCACCATTGATTAGGCTGTTGGTATGGTCAGCTGTAACTACAGTGTAAACTCTCTTGATACTTTATTATAAACCTTCGTCCATGTTGGAATTATCTAGGAATGACTTCATTTTTCATGCCTTCAAGCCTTGATCTGTTCCTCTGAATATGCAGCATATGTTACCATGGTTATTTAACTCACTCAAGTAGAAAAGAGTTTGTGATACCAGAAAACCAGAGTCAAGCCCAAAGCTAATTTGCTAACCCACTAATCTTGCTTCTTGATACAAACCAAATCTCACCTGGAACTTGCTTTCTTCCCAATTCTGGGTGAACCCTTAATTAAAACCACCCAAAGGTGTTGCTAACTTGATACACAGGCAGTACAGAGGCAATACTTCTGTCCTTTTCTACAACTCCCTATGTGTGAAACTCTCAATCAGAAACTCAGGAGTTGGTATTGTGTGTGTGAGTTTTCCCTGGTGTGCAAGAACTTGTTTAGGATTAAGTGTCAATTTAATATTTGGTGTTTCAAATGAATCTTATATACACCCCTCTGATGCAAAATAATCTAAATCATGCCTTTACCTGCTGTAAATGAAAAAGTTATTATTCAGTCTTTGTAACTTTTGTGACTGACAGGTAGTCTGCTTTATTGCATGACTTAACAGGAAGACCCCTGTTGCTTATCCTTGGCTTGTGCAGCAGCACAATATAAGACAAGCTGCATTTTTCTATCTAAGAACAGCATTTGAGACCCAAGGATAGTCTGATAGCTTTAGAAAATGAATGCAGACGAACAACAGCTTCTAATTTTCTCAGGTCAAATGTAGATGAGTGCTATCACTGCCATTTCAGTGGATATTGATAGTGGCTTTCACATGGTTTAGTGCCAGCAGAATCAATTCATACAGTTACATTTGTAGGAGAAGACAGGGGCAAAATGATTGGATGCAACAATTGATTTGATATTCAAAGGGATATTGTGGTAATGAAACACTTGACCAACACATTAACACATTACAAGGATACCTGCTTGTTCTCTGGCCTTTTTAAATTTGCTTTGAATTCATATATGCACACTTAGCTAGTCACAGTCTTGTGAAACACAAAGAGGCGACGTTGTAGCATCTTGCTTGAATACAATATAAGGACTGCTAGCAAAGCATATGAACAGACAGACTGATGCTGATTCAAAAAATACTCCAACTCTTCTCAAGGAACCTCTGCTTAATTCCCCTTTTCTCTGTCTTTTTGTTCCAGTGGAAGGCTGCACGGATTGGTCAGTGGACTACCTGAAATACAAGGTGCTTCTGGGGGAACCTGTACGGATTAAGTGCGCTTTATTTTATGGATATATTCGGGCCAACTACACCCATGCGCAGAGCGCAGGACTCAGCCTTATGTGGTACAAAAGTGCAGGACACGGGGACTTTGAGGAACCCATCAGTTTTGACGGCACAAGGATGAGCAAGGAGGAGGATGCCATATGGTTTCGACCAGCAGAGTTGGACGATGTGGGGTACTATTCCTGTGTATTAAGGTGAGTTCCTCTCATTTTTGTAAGCCATCATTACCTGGACACATATGGCTTTCTTCTTTGCTCAAATCAAATATAAATAGTTGGTTTTATTGTTTTTGCCCTTAACTGGAGCAAGCATTCATGAGAGGCTATTCCACAATTTTGACTTATTTTGCCAGCAGTGTGTCAGTGCGATAGCGGGGGTAAATAACATTTTCTGGAACCCCGTGGGCACAAGTAAAGCTGTGTTAAAGTCCTCCCCCGTTGATTCCTAATGAAGTCTCTCATCTCAGGCCAAAAGAGCGCTGGTCCTTAGTCCACAGAGCATCATCTAACATTATGAGTCCCCTTTGCTTGGCTTTACATGCTAAATTATTTCTTTATTCTCCTCTGGGGGACAGTAAGCTATTAGGTGCAATTGGTAAATCCATATCTCTTCGGCCTCACAAGTCCTTCTTTCTGAAAATGTGAAAGAGCGAATGATATGAAAGAGAATGGACAGTAATTCAGTACAGGAAGACTGAGGAAAGGGAAAAGGCTACTGAGATAAAAAGAGAAAAGTACTTGTGCTATTTTCCTTTTCCACCTGCCTGATGGTGGAGGTAGACGATTGCTTGATTCATGAGTTCTACAATGTCGTGAAATTTCCTAGTTCATATTGGCCGAAGTTTTCATTAACATAGAGGTTGTCTGTGACCAGTCAGAAAGAAAAGGCAAAGCCGCTGCCCATAACACTTTCTTTTTTCACTGCACAAGGTGAACTTTGAAACACATTCCTGAATAGGATTGTAATCTTGTTAGAATTCAGAGAAATCCACAGAAACATTCACATTTCAACCCAAAAACAAGTGATTTAGGACATGTTTTACACTGGTAAAAAAATCTGGTGAATAATATGCTCTTGAGCAGTTGCATTCAGCACAGGTTTCCCTGTGTTTCACAAGCTCAATTCTAAGAGGTTTTAGCCATTACTATTCAACACCATTAGCACTCTCCCCTTTGCTGTGGCAGCCGCCTTGAATAGAACCGGGCAGGACCAATCCAACAATTCTCTATTCAGTGACGTTGGCAGCATTTTCTGGAGGTAGACAATCAGTCAGCTCAGAGTTATTGTGTAATCACGCAGAAAGTAGAGCCATGAGATTTGATTTGGACGAGTAGAGTTGCTTTGTCGCCAGTCTCTACCATTCAGAAGCAAATTAAGGGGCAACATTTATTTGCCCATCATGGAGAGAAATAACAGTAGTTCTGAATACAGAGCACTTTTCCATCACATAGGATTTCATTCTACAGGCATTTCTTTGGACTATTGTTACCTGTAGATGCTTTCTGCAGGTCATTGTAGAGTCTGGACAGGGATGTCCTGACTAACTTTTTAATGCTTAATGTTCAAATCTTAATATTTCCCACCCAGATGGAATAGTTACAACACTGACCTTTATTTACAATTACCAGTTGGTGCTATAATCGGTTCCCCTGATTTTCAGTGTTAATCAAAGCATCGGTTGCAGCTGGGGGTGTTGAGATCTGCACAGCCTATGATGTGATTGTAAAGAGACAAATGATTAAATTATTTTTAAAAAGTTATGAGATATGGCCGAAAACATTGCTTTGTGAGGTCACAGTGACCTTGACCTTTGACCACCAAATTCTAATCAGTTCATCCTCAAGTCCAAGAAAGCACCAAGAAATTCCCTCAAGGCTTTACTGAGATATCACGTTCACAAGAAGGACGGACGGAAAACATAATGCTTAAAAAAATCCCAGTCTCCCCTGAAAACATAAGCCCAAAAGTGTGAACATCACATCGGATTTCCTGAAAGTGAAATCCACCATCTGTATTAACTGAACACCCAATAGAAAAAATGAAAGGAAAAGCATTCATTTGTCAAAAGGTGTTTACTGTCAGTTTTGCAACATTTGAGCTGAGGAAATAAGCTGAACAGTGTGCAGAGTTGCACATGCTTGATTATATAGTAATAACTTATTAACCTTGTAGGTAAAGGGCGTTTTCCCTTGACTGGCTCATTAGTCAGCTCTATACAACGGCTTTTAACAGGGGGAAGGGCCTGCATAAAAGGCTTGGGAGGATTAGGGTGTGTGTGTGTGCGTGCGTGTGTGCATGCATGTGTGCGTGCGTGTGTGCATGCATGTGTGAGTGCGTGTGTGCATACGTGCAAGCGTGTGTGCGAGAGGGAGAGAGAGACGTGTTTAGTTAAATGCAGCATTCTGAAGTGCATAGCAATGCATCAGAATCGACCACATGGGAATATCAAATTAGAATGATTTAGAGTCCTGTATTAGCATATAGGGTGAGTTCTGTTGAGTGGAGCCATAATGATAAGGCCAGGGCTCAGTCCAGATGACTGACAGAGCAATGGTTTCTGGGAAACAGACTTTTGATTCTTTTCTCATATTGTATATCAACTAAAACTGAATGTATATGTAGTAGAAATGCTGAATTAAATTTTTTCACATGATGTCCTGTCTTCATGTTATTCAGTGTCAGAGGTAAAAGAAAGCCACTCTAAAATACTTTAGCAATAATAACACTCTAACTACTGCGTTTAAACACGAAGCTGTTAACCTTAAATGGTTACGGTATAGTGCTAAAAATCATATCTCATTTTCTATGAAGTGGGCTAAAGGTTCAGTTGTAAGTCAAATCCACATCTGAGATGGAACAAGCACTTTAACTAAAACAGACTGTGATCAAAATAGAACATAAAGACAGGGTTTTCCTTCCCTGTATACAGCTGTAAAAGATTATATAGAATAGCTTAAATTAGATCATAAGAGAAACAGGTCTTTCTCTGAGAATACTCCTTCAACAATAAGAGACTGATTAAAATACAATCACAGGTTTATCCTCTCCTGCTTAACAAAACATAGAATGGAAATAACAACAACTTGAAAATATACCGCACAACAATATATCAACATGTAAGTGAAATATATAAAATAAAAAGCCTATATTATTTAAAGATAGGCCTATCTGTGAGAATACTCCTTCAGTTGTTTTCAACAAAATCTGAACCACCTCCAGATAATTGGACCATGGACCGGCACTGTGTCTCCCTCCATGTGGCAGGAGAACTTGTGAGAGAGTGGGCCCCAGTTTGTGTGCAGATGCAGAGGGAGAGTGGGGGCAGGGTTGTGCGGAGAGATGCAAACACTGCCAAGGCTTTACTGAAGAAGTGGGTTATGTAGTGCAGTATCAAACGATATCAATATAAACAGTATTGTCTCATCCCATATCTCGTTTGAAAATATATCGATATATCTGATGAAGTCGATGTACCGCACAGCCCTTCTACAGTATGACGTTTGCAGCCACATTTGCTTTCTCATGCTTGTGCATCGATAATGTTTAACATTGCAGGAATGGATTCATCCGATTTTACAACCACATAGCAGTGTGTTGAGCTGTGACTCATTTCAATTCCCAGGCACCACAGCCAAATCCGAGGATTGCTCTTCTCTCTTGTCTCAGCAGCGTGGGTCCTATAGATGATCAGCACTTGCATATGTTAACATATCATATTTGGATTAGACTCTTGGCAGTGTTTTTACTTGGGGATCTTTACCTTTTTGAAACATAAAGAGACCTAGGGAATTAGAGTGCTCAGTGGTGGAACAAATGAATCACAGCACAACAATAAATCATCTCTCACTGGATACATTTCATACTTGAGCAAGCTATAACAATTCAATCCCAGTCACTATGGGCCCCCATCATGTTATTATTTCAAAGCAAGTATTGGTACAGACCATTGTATCCAAGAATGCTATGCATGAATGTTGAAGCAGTTCTTGTCCTTAGACCACATCAGACATAATCTATACACCAGCTTATGTGATAGTATTTGTCATCATTCACCATGTCTCTTTTATTTTTTGATAATCAGTTTGGTATAGTAAGGATTAAAGCTTGGCAGTGGTTTAATATTATTGTTTATCACCCTTTAGTGGAATAATGTTATAATGATATGTACATTTTGGTTTCTAAATCATATTTGTCATATCATATATCATATTTATCATTCTGTTATCAGTATTGTTTTTATAGCTTGTGACTTTAATCCATTTATGTTAGTTGTAATTCATCATAGATATATTATATCCCATACTGAAGGTTGTCGAAACCAAAACATAATAAATACAGTAAATATACTGTACCGGGAGTCAGTAAGATAGTATTGTGTGTGTGTCATATAATAGCACTATTTCTTTTGAAGCTACTCAGCTTATAGTTTATGATATGTTCTCATAGGGCATCAGTAATACAGAGACTGTCAGTCCATGTGTCCTGTCTGTGGCTCTCCGTATACCGAGGAAGAGATTTCTGCCAGTTGTCTGTCACAGGTGTTATTGCATTAGTCAAAGATGAACGGTGTGGGTGGAATATTCATAAGACACCCACATCAGCATTGCCACAGCCAGTGAACACACACTGCTGCAGTATTATTGGCCACTTCTGCCAGTTTGCCGCCATGTAACGAGAGGTCGGTGTCTCAATGCTGTGCAAAATTCTGTTGTCCAAATGTCCAAGAGAACTGCAATCAAAAAGAGAATTATTAAGTTTCTGGTTTACATGTGAAGTTTTTTCAAATGAGATGCATAGATAACAGTAAAACACAGTCCATTGCGTTAAACGTGTGATCTGGCATACATTTTCCATACCGTGATAAATACTCACCATGCACTTTATTGGGAACAATTCCACACCTGCTTATTCATGCACTTATCGAATCAGCCATTCATGTGGCAGCAATGCAGTGCATAAAATCCTGCAGAGACGGGTCGGGAGCTTCAGTTAATGTTCACAGCAAACATCAGAATGGGGAAAAATGTGATTTTGACTGCGGCATGATTGATCTGAAACTGCTGCTCTCCTGATGTTTTCATTGTTTGCACAACCGTCTCTGGAGTTTAATCAGAATGGTGTGAAAAACAAAAAAACATCCAGTGAGCAGCAGCTCTGCAGATGGAAATACATTGCTGATGAGAGAGGTCAGAGG